GGACTAAGAATGTAGAATAGGAAAGGGGGAGAAGCCATCCACAAATCTGAGTCAACTAGAAAGGTCCATAAATCTTTGTGTTGGGATCGAAGGAAAAACCTGTTCAGAGCTGAAGGGAGGTCCTTGGTTTCTAACATAAATCTCCTAAAGGCTCTTTTAATACAAGGCTCAGTTCATGGAAAAACTCCAAATTGCACAAAACTCCATTAGGCAGGAGAAATGGGCAGGCTAGAAGGACATGGGCGGTGGGGGGCAGCCAGTCTGCAGGTGGGATGGCTGGGCTGGAGGCCGTGGCTCAGGCCCAGGACCTGTAGGTAGGAGCAGGCAGGAAGAGAACTGTAGAGGCAGAGGTTAGCGTGTTCACTCAGAGCCCTGGCTTTCCAGTCTCTAGGATGCAGATGCTTTCCTCAGACAAGGTGTTTGTTTTCTAAAGATTTTATTTATTTGAGAGAGAGATAGTGAGAGAGAGCACAAGTAGGGGTGGGGGGGAGAGAGGGAGAAGCAGGCTCCCCGCAGAGCAGGGAGCCCAGTATGAGGCTCAATGCCAGGACCCCAGGATCATGACCTGAGCTGAAGGCAGACACTCAACTGACTGAGCCACCCAGGCGCCACCCCCCATAGGTTTTTTGTTTGTCTGCTTGTTCTATCAATTACTAGAGAGAAGTATTAAAATTCTCTAGCTATGATTATGGATTTATCTATTTTTCCTGGTAATACTATCAGTTTTACTTCATGTGTTTGGAATCTGTTATTTGGTCCATGTACAGTTAGGATTGTTATGTTTTCCTCATGAATTGTCCCTTTTTATCATTTTGAAATGAACCTCCTTATATTTGGTAATATTTCGTTTCTCAAAGTCTACTTGGACTTTTTTTAAAATATCCTCACCAGCTTTTTTTGTATTTACAGTTTATGTGGTTTACCTTTCCCACTCTATTTATCTTCATATTTAATAAAGCTTGCCTCCTGTAAACAGCATATAGCTATGTCTTAATTTTTTATCTAGTCTGACAATTTCTATTTTTTTTTTTTTTTTTACCAATTTATTTATTTGAGAGACAGAGAGTGAGCAAGTGAGCGTGAAGGGGTTTGGAAGGGTAGAGAGAGAGGGAGAGAGAGTCTCCCAGGCAGTCTCCCACACCAAGTGTGGAGCCCAGCTCGGGGCCTGATCCCACGACACCCGAGATCACAACCCAAGCCAAATCCGAGTCAGATGCTCAACTGACTGTGCCACCCAGTCATTCCTTATAATCTCTGCTTTTGAATTAGAGTGTGTGGTTCATTTATATTTAATGTAGTTGTTGGTGTGGTTGGGCCGAAGCCTACATCTGATTTTTGTTTCTGTTTCTCCTTTTCTGCCCTGTTCACTTAGAATTTTTTAGTATTACATTTTATTTCCTCCATTGACTTTTTAACTCTGTACCTTTTGTATTTTGTATTTTTTTATTTTTATTTTATCTTATTTTATTTTTAAACATTTTATTTATTTGACAGAGAGGGAAAGAGAGAGAGAAAGTGCACACAAGCAGGGGGAGTGGCAGAGGGAGAGGGAGAAGCAGGCTCCCCACTGAGGAAGGAGCCTGACACGGGGCTCAATCCTAGAACCCCAGGATCATGACCTGAGCCGAAGGCAGCCGCTTAATTGACTGAGCCACTCAGGCACCCCACCATTATCTCTTTAAATAATTTATCTGCCCTGGGGCACCTGGGTGGCTCAATCAGTTAAGTGTCCTACTCTTGATTTAGGCTCAGGTCATGATCTCAGAGTCATGATATCAGGCTCCATGCTGGACATGGAGTGTGCTTAAGATTCTCTCTCTCCCTTACTCTGTGCTCCCCCCATGCACACGCATGCACGCGTTCGCTCTCTCTAAAAAAAAAACAACTTACCTGCCCTGCATCCTCTCTTCCCTCCTTCTTAGACTCTAATTACACTATGTTAAACCAGTGATATTGTCCCACGGGTCACTGAGGCTTTGTTTAGTTTTTTTCTATTTTTCTTTCCGTTTTCAGATTGGATACTTTCTATTGATCTTTCTTTTTTTTTTTTTTTAAACAGATTTTATTTATTTATTTGAGAAAGAGAGAATGAGAGAGAGAGGGAGAGAGAGAGCATGAGAGGGGGGAGGGTCAGGGAGAAGCAGACTCCCCGCTGAGCAGGGAGCCTGATGTGGGACTCGATCCCAGGACTCCAGGATCACGACCTGAGCCGAAGGCAGTTGCTTAACCAACTGAGCCACCCAGGCGCCCCCTCTATTGATCTTTCAATAGAAAGTCTTCAGTGATCTATATCCTGCAGTTTCTTATTTGTAACTCATCCAGTGATTTTTCTCCTTCAGTTATGGTACTTTTCAGTTCTAGAATTTTTTTCCCCCCCAATTGTGGAAAAACATACATAACATAAAACTTACCATTTTAGTCATTTTTAAGCATATTGTGTGTTCAGTGGCATAAAGTACATTTGCAATATTCAGCCATCATCACTATGCATTTCCAGAACTTTTTCATCATCCCAAACAAATTCTGTATCCATTAAATACTAACTTTCCATTTCCATCTATTTCCAGCCCTGGGACCCTCTGAGCTACTTTCTGTCTCTGAATTTGCCTATTCTGGGTATCTCATATATGTGGAATTGTGTAATATTAGACCTTTTGTGTCTGGCTTATTTTACTTAACGTAATGTTTTCAGAGTTTATCCATGTCATAGCATGTATCAGAATTTCATTCCTTTTTATGGCTGAATAATATTCCATTGTATGGATATACCACAGTTTGTTCGTCTGTATGCTGATGGACACTTGTTTCTATGTTTTAGCTACTGTGAGTAATGCTGCTGTGAACATCAATATACATACATCTGTTTGAGTCTCTGCTTTTAATTTTTTTGGTTGTATACCTAGAAGTGGAATTACTAAATCAAATGCTAATTCTGTGTTTGCTTTTTGAGGAGCCACCAAATCATTTGGTTCTTTTTTATAGTTTCTATTTCTCTGCCAGGATTCCGTGTCTGGTAACTAATTTTGTTAATCCTTCACTTAAGTACACAAACTTTAATAACTGTTTTTAGGTGTTTGCTGATTCCAACATTTGGGTCATTGTTTTTGTTGACAGCTGTTTTTCCTTTGAAGGGTTTTGCATTTTATTCTGTAAGGCAGTGGTTACTGTTTATTCTGGTGATTCCTGTTGATCCTATTGAGTATGGTTCTGTTCTTTCTTTGGGGGGTGTGTGTGTGTGTGTGTGTGTGTGTGTGTGTGTTTTAAGATTTAATTTTTTTTTTAAGATTATTTATTAAGAGAGAATGAGAGAGAGAGCACAAATGGAGTGAGAGGCAGAGGGAGAAGCAGACTCCCCACTGATCAGGGAGTCCGATGGAGGGCTCAGTCCCAGGACTCCGAGATCATGACCCAAACCAAAGGTAGACGCTTAACCAGCTGAACCACCCAGGCACCCCTAAGATTTTATTTTATTTTTTTTAAAGGTTTTTTTTTTAAGATTTTATTTATTTATTTATTTGAGAGGGAGAGAATGAGAGATAGAGAGCACGAGAGGGAAGAGGGTCAGAGGGAGAAGCAGACTCCCCGCTGAGCAGGGAGCCTGATGCGGGATTCGATCCCGGGACTCCAGGATCATGACCTGAGCTGAAGGCAGTCGCGTAACCAACTGAGCCACCCAGGCGCCCTAAGATTTTATTTTTTAAATAATCTCTACACCCAGTGTGGTGCTTGAACTTACAACACTGAGATCAAGAGTTGCACCTTGAGATGGGGTGCATGCTCTACCGGGCACTCCACGTGTAGGTCTTTTTTGATTTTTGTCTTCAGAGTTAGGGCATGGTGCTTATTCCTGAGGCTCAGCCTTTCTGAATTCTGGGGTTCTCAGCAAAGTCTCTCCATTCAGACTGGGCCAGAACTCCATCTCCGAGCCCTTTCCAGCCTCTGGTAATCTCCATCCAGCAGTCAGCCCTGAAGAGGCCACTCTGCTAGGCCTCACAGAGCCTGCCTATGCTGCCAACTGGGCAGACTCACACGGAATTTTGGGTACTGCCCTTGCAGAATATGTAAGGTGTATGTGAGTGTGCCTTTGAGGCAGGGCGAGGTCTCTACCTGCCCAGGTGCAGGAAGGGCACAGGTATCCATGCAGTCCTTCCCCTGCAATCTTGAACTCAGGGGAAGGACTCAGTCTTGAACCCCTGAGTCTCTGCCTCAACTCAGTGAGACTGTCCTGCTCTGCTTGGACTCTGTTCCCCTGCCCCAGGTGTTTAGAACATGCCCTCAGGGGGCTCACCTTGTTTCTCAACTCTGAGGGTCACAGTCTGTGTTGCCTCTTGTCCAGGGCCTGAAAACAGTTGCCACATATATTTTGTCCCATGGTTTTGCCAACGCACAGCCCCTAGTGGCTATTGACCAGTTTTCCCGGCACTGCCTTTGCAGGCCTTCCCATCATGCTGAGCAGGGAGGCCTAGGCAGAGGAGACAGAACAGTGGTTCTCAAACCTGTCTCCCTGTCTACCTCACATGGAACATTTGTTTTAAATACTGTTTCCTGGGGCCTACTTCAGACCTGTGCAGTCAGCCTTGGAGACGTGGCCTCTGTTTTTAACCACTCTCCCCAAGGATTTGGGTAGCAGCAGCCTGGCCAGTCAGCACGGACTAGAAAGGCTTTCACTACTGATCATTGAGCACTGCTGGTAATTCAGTGCGGAACTGAACTGAAGAAGAGCCAGGGTCTCCAAGTCAGTCTCATTCTTACTGTGTGAATGCTTGGCTGACACTGAAAAGAACTTGAAGAGTATTGGGTTGTTTGTGGGGGTTTTTTGCCCACTGCTGTCTGCTTTCCTTCCCTTTCTCTTTCCTTTCTCTCCATCTCAATGTATCTACCTCTTCAGAGCCTAAGAGGAAAAACCCAATTATTTGGGACTTCTCATTCTTTTTTTAGTGATTTTGTTTTATTTTAAGTGCCTTATTTCCCATTATTATTATTATTATTTATCTTTTTAGGGAGACGTTGGAAAAGCAAGTATTTGCTATTTGGTGGCAGAAGATGTTTCAGCATCGAGAAAACCGCTTGGCAGAGAGAATGGTAAGTGGCCGCCCTGCGGAGGTGCCTGGAGTGGGCAGGACCTGCTTCAAGCTTTGCACTCACTGCCGCCTCTGCTCGAGACGTCGCCCAGAGCCCAGACCCACACTGCGGGGCGTCCTGCCTGTGACCAGGACTCATGAGGCAGGGCAGGGCCTGGGGCATCTGTTGCCTTTGTCAGTGGAGTTTACATATGGCTTCTGGGCCAGGGCGGCTCTGTAACGCCCATTTCTTTTGCCTTGGTCAGTATTTGTGGCCTATAGATTCTTCCTGGCTTCTGTACCCCCAGCTGCTTGACCCACTCTGTTCTCTCCCCGCCATCCTGCCCCAGGCCATCCTTCACTCAGAGCAGCAGCTCCTGCAGAGGTCCTGGTCCACGTGGCACCAGCAGGCAGCAGCACGTCACCGGGAGCGACAGTGGACAGCAGCGGCCTGGGCCCACCGCCGCCACCATCAGCTCAGGAGGGCTTTCTGCATCTGGAAGGACAGTGCCCGAGGCCTCAGAACAGAGTGAGGGGCTGCTTCTGCCCCAGAAGCTCTTCCCCTCTCGGGCCAGCTTTGACCATAGTGGTAGCACCCTCAGCTCTGAGTGCCTGTCGGAGGGTCGTGTTAGCCTAGACTCTGGTTCCAAGTTCCAGAAATTCTGCCTGATACGGTCTATACCAAAGCAGGGATGTAGTGAGAGGATCCTGGGGTACCTCATGGAGCTCCCAGCCTCAGGAACTCGACTAGGGACAGACATGCTGCATGGATCTGAGGTCCTACCCATTGGATGCGTCCTACTCACTGGGGCCCATTCAGAGTGACCATGGCCAGGGAATAGACTGATGAGCCCGTTTCAGGATAGCTGAGCCCCCAGGACCAGCAGCTGTGGCCCAGGGGCAGGTTGTGGCAGTTTTTACCACACCATGTGGTTGGAGAGAGGGCGGGGCAGGCCGCCCACATGGACACTGCCCACCCTGGCCTGCTTTCATGCCTTTCTGCATCCACTTTGTGCTGTGCAGATCTCCCCCCCACTCTCAAATTCTGGCCACCTTTAATCTCCTGAGTCGCCAGCACATGAATGTACTTCAGTGTACTTGAGCCCTGTCAGGTTGGCTGCAAGAATTTAATTAGGTGCTTGCTTTCCTGAGGGGAGAGCCCAAATCCTCTGGCACTCTTCAGAGGAGGTGTTTGTTTGTTTTTAAGATTTTGTTTATTTATTTGAGAGAGTGAGCACCCAAGCAGGGGCAGAGGGGAAGGGAGAAGCCGACTCCCCTGCTAAGCAGGGAGCCCGACCCAGGGCTCGATCCCAGGACCCTGGGATCATGACCTTGAGCCAAAGGCAGATGCTTAACTGACTGAGCCACCCAGGCGCCCCCAGAAAAGGTCTTGATTCCTCCCTCCCCACCAGTTTAAGAACAGCTAGGCAGGGGCCAGGGACTGTGAGGGGTGCCCATCGAAAGGGCCCTGGCCGGGTCCAGGCTGCAGTGCTGACTTCAGCCCTCCCCACAGGAAGACCAGCCTGGTGCTGGCTGCAGAGTTCCACTCGGCTCGGATCCTGCACTGGGCCTGGGGCAGGTGGAAGGAGGTAAGGCTTTGGCAAAGACGCCACCTCATTTGGTTGGGGACAGGTGGGGCTGTGTGTCAGCGTGACTCCGAGTAGACACGTGGGTCTGGCTTCAGCCCCACGGTGGCCATCTGCCTCTGAGCCTGGGAGACAGCCTGGGCAGCACAGGGGCAAGCACTAACCTGGTGACGTGAGGTGACTGGCTCAAAATCCCATGTCCTTCTGGCTCTGGTCTGAACTCACTGAACCTAAAAGTCCTGGCCTAACCATTTGCAGGCACTCTACTCAGGGTAAAAATGCTTGAGCATTTACCCCAAGTCAAGCACTTGTTCCATCGGATCCCCACAAAACCCCTGAGAGATACCTATTGCTAGATGAGGCCTAGGGGTGGGGGGTGAGGACCCCACGGGTGCAAGATGAGGCGTGGCTGAGCCCCTCCTGGCCCCCGGCCCTCCCTCTGTCCGCAGGGCCTGGCCCTGCGCGCTGCCGAGCGGCGGAAGCTGACGCGCGCCCGCCTGCATCACCGGCGCACCTTGCTGCGCGGGGCGCTGCGCACCTGGGCGGTACGGGCGGATGCTGGCCTCGGCGGGGCTGGGGGGTGGGCGGCAGTGGGGACTTTGTGTCCTTCCCTTGTTCTCCCTGCCCCTCCCAGAGCGCGTGCGCCGGACAGCGGGTCTCACCCCCTGTGGCCTTGCTCGGCACAGCAAAAACGAGTCTGGGGTTACCAGCCTCCGCATCGAAGCGGCCCCTTGTCCAGGAGCCCAGTGGCTTGACTGATGAGTGAGGACTTAGCGAGAGCGTCCCCTCGCTGTTGTCCTGGTGCTCTTCTGGCCGTGGGACTCGGCGCGCTCCTGGGTGAGCGCTGCGGGGCTGCGGAGGGACACGGGCCGGGCCGGCCACTAGTCCCCTCGGTCTCCTGCAGACGTACCAGAGCCGCGTGCGGAGCGTCCTCCAGGAGGTGGCGGCCAGGGAGAGGCAGCACGGGAGGCGGCTGCTTCGGTGAGTGCCCCCGCGTCTCCGGGCCCTGCCTGAGGAACGGCGCGCTCCGTCCAGACCCAGGCAGGGCCGGGCGGGCGGGCCTGGCTCCTTGTGCTGCTCGCAGCCTGGCTTGGGCTTTTGCACAGCAGGCGCTCCATTCATTGGGTCACCGCATGTCTCGAAGCTGCTGTGTGCGGCCTGGGGCCTTGCGGAGGCAGCTGTCACTGGGACATGTGCGCGAGCTCCCTCGTCCTGCTCCTCTCGACACTGTGCCCTCCCCTGCACGATTCCGTGTCTCCTGCTCCAGAGCTGCAGGGACTCCCTTTGCCTCAGCCCCCACTCAGGTGCCTCCCAGCTTGGCTGTCCAGGCCTTTCACGGATTCCAGAGGCATCTCCCACAGCCTTGGAGGTCACTCGCTCTGTCAGCTCCAGCTCCATCAGGAGCCCGTCGTCTAGCTCCTGCTAAACCAAGCTCTCACTCTCTCCTTCCCGGCAGGCCTCCCTCATTCCACTCTTTTCCTCCCTCCGGATTTGTTCAGCACATGGTATTCCAGGCTGCCTGGGGGTGGTGGGCCTTGTGGACTTAACACCCACACCCTCCTTCGGGGAAGTGCCTGCCCATGCAGCTCCTCAGACATGGGGAGTAAGAAAGAGTGACGGAACTAACTCAGCAGCAAGCACGGTGCTGGGGCTCCAGTGGCCTTCTGCCACCTCCCGTCTCTCTGTGCCTTACTGCGGCATGACTCGCCTGTACCGTCACTACCTGGTCCCTGCTGTATGTCATGTACGTGCGTGAGGACGTGGTATTTGGCCTTGTTCACCGTGGTGCCCCTGGTGCTCCCCCAGTGCCTGGCACAGAGCGGGTGCTCACCAGCCGTGTGTTGTGTGTGTTGTCATAAACGTGGCTCTTGGTGAGACTGATGTTCTCAGGTACGAGGAGTCCATCCTCGATTGAGGCACTAGTGGGCTGAAGAAGCAGGAACGACTCACTGGAAACCTCCCCCTGTCTCTCCGCACTGGTGTCACCCCATCTCCCCGGCCTGTGTTCCCGCAGGTGTGTGTTCCGTCGCTGGAGAGAGAACACCCTGGCCCGTGTGGCTGAAGCCCAGCAAACCTCCCGAGCAAGCGCTCACTACTGGCGAACCTTGTGTTCCAAGGTGAGACATGCGGAGACCCAGCTGGTCGCCCAGGAGGGCTTGGGACCTTGCTGCTGCGAGGGGGTGGCCCCAAAGCTAGGCACTGAACGGGGAACCCAGGACGTGGGTTCACTCACCCTCCTCCATGCACACGTAACAGCTGTGTGAGCAGTAGGGTTTTATTTATTTTTTTGCTGGATTATGCACCAATATCCATCAAAACAAAAACATAGTGAGCAGACTGGTTCTTATCAGAACCAATATTTCCTACACATGTAGAATTTCCCACTGGGACAAACTAAGTCAGCGTGCCCCTCCGTCTCTTCAGTCTGTCAGAGGATGCTCACTCCTGCTCGTGCACTCCAGGAACGTGAGATTGTTGGTCATCATCCGTGGGAAGTGGCCCCCAAAGGCCGCGTGGTGGGGCCTGTCCTATGCGCCGGAGGAGGGGGGGGCGTGCCAGCACATGACTGTGGGAGGAAGGGGTGTTACACACCAGGGGGTACTCAGAAATGAAGGGACAGAAGTGGTCCCTGCACCGGCGGCTGTTTTAGAGGAAAGCATCATGCCAGGAGCTCTGAACAGCAGCGGTTCTCCTGCTGGAAGGCGGGGGGAGACTGGTCCTGACAACTCGGAAGCCTCCCGAGGGTGAGGAACCGTGACTTCAAATCAAGGCCTAGTCTGCTGTCAGAAAAGTCTGCTGTCTGGGGCCAGCCCTGGAAGGAGGGTCGGGGACTCGGGACTCTCCTTGGCTCCGGGGCTCGCAAGGGGGCCCTTTTTTTTTTTTTTTTTTTTTTGCAGGGAATGGAGTTTGTGCCTCAGGAGCCGGGGAGCAGCAACCCCGGCTGCTTGACTTCTTTTTAAAGTGCTCTGTTGGTGTGATTTCTTGTGTGTCTCAGAAAGGCTGCAGGCGTGTAATATATAGTTCTGTTTAACACGTAATAACAGAACAAAAGTCCGTGTGATGCCTTGACTTCTTGATGGCGTGCTTGGAAGTTTAACTGCTTCTATAGAACAGTCCATCGCCTGCAATACTGGGCCTCCTGTGGGGACCGGGGGCTGGGTCTGTGGCCTGGGGTCTGTGGGCTGGCCGGCGTTTTCCAGAATGTGTGTGAGTGCCGTGTCCCCGCTTGGCCTTGTTCCGTGAGGAGCTGCCCGCAGAGCTGGGCTTCCTGGGAAGTCAGGATGTGCCCTTCATCTGCCCCTTAGGTCCTGGTGCAGTGGCGGGAGGCTGCATCCGTGCAGATATACTACCGACAACAGGAGGACTGTGCCATCAAGGAGGCCCGGAAGGTGCTCGATAAGGGTAAGTGGAGTTCCTGGCAGCCGGGGAGAGGGCTGTGAAGGACACAGAACTGTCTTGTGTTCCATCTGCTCTCCCTCAGTCTTTGTATTCTTCTCACGCGTGTGAGTTTCCTGTGGCTAAATAACAGTGCCACGAACTGGGAGGTTTCCACCGGCAGAAAATTGTTCTCTCGGCGTTCTGAGGCCACGTCTGAAACCAGGGTGTCGGCAGGGCCATGATTCCTGTGAGGGCTGGAGTGGAGAATCCTTCCTTGGCTCTTCCAGCCCCTGACAGTCCAGGCAGTCCTTGCTGTTGCTTGGCTTGCAGACCCATCCCTCCATCCTCGGCCTCTGAGGGCCCAGGGCTGTCTTCCCTGCATCCGCGTCTCTCTTAGAAGGCCGCCAGTCCTCCCCCAGGATGGTGTCAGCTGATTGCACTGACCGTCTTGCCGACTACAGTTCTGAGGTTCAGGATGAGGTTCTGGGTTTGGGAGGGGTAACCATTCAATCCAGTGCATCATAGCATTCTCTTCCCAGCCAGGTGCCAACCAGTTGATGTCCAAATGTAAGACCGAGGCTTAATATCTGATTCTTACGAAGGAGTCAAGGTTGAGGGGTGTCTGCCTCCTTGTGTAGCCGGGCCCTTGTGTGTTCAGGGAGCAGTGGCCTTGGACAGTCTGACTCCCTGCTATACAAACAGCCTGGGGAAGACTGTCCAGACAGGAGCAGAGAGGAGATGCAGGGAAACTGAGGCCTATGGCCCTGCAGTAGGGACATGAGAGGACAGCCAGTGGTTAGAATAAATGAAAATACAACCGGAAATGAAAACAAACAGGAATGGTTTAAATTGGACCATAGGGAAAACAGATCAAGTTGTTGGCTCCAGGACAAAAAATGATCAACTTTGGTTTGGTTCTGACTATAGTGTTTTACGTGGCTAAACACACATTTCTGCTTTTCTCTAGACAGAACCGTGGGGTCAAACATCCCACACCTACTCCACCCCTAATGGGCTTCTCTGTGTCCTCAAGCTGCCCCCGCCCCAAGAAACCAGTGCTATGTTTCCAGGTCACTCCCAAGAGAGAAGCTGAGGGGTTCAGCCCATTCCGTGGCCTCTGGACAGAGCTTTGGCATCCAGCACTGCAGAGGCCTTGCCAGTGGGGGGGTCAGGCGGCCACAGCGGGTGCTAGAGGTGACAGGCATGGGGTGCAGCCTGGAGCTGCTTCTCTCCGCAGGACCGAGGGGCAGGCAGCCTTCCGTAGAAGGCGGTGGCAGCACCTGGCGGGCCCTGGGATTGCTGTGTCTGGTACAGGTGGTACAAAGGATTTGCGAGACCATGTGGCAAGACAGTGTTCTCAGCACATAGCAGATGTGCACTCAGTACCTGTGGAACCATTTCTGGGCTTAGTTAAGGCCTCGAGTCTCAGGCACGCCTTGGCAGCCCAGGGGTGGGGCTGGGTGCTGGAGGAGGACGAGCTCAGGGCGACGTGTTGTAAGACACATTCAACAGAGAGCGTGGTACAGGCAGGGTCAGATGCTGGCTGTGTGGCCCCAGCAAGGCCTCTCTGAGCCTCAGTTTCTCCATCTGTAAAATGGGAATAATAGTACCTGCCTCTTGGGGTTGTGGTAAGGATCCAGTGAGAGGTACCCACTTGAAGCAGTATCCAGGAAGCATCAGCACTTGGTCCTAAGGCTTCGCCTCCAGGCGTGCAAACCTGCCCTCCCTGCCGCCTCCAGTAGGCCCCGGAGAGGACACCCCACCTTGGCATCAGTGCCCGGGTACCAGCCCTCTTGAAAAACAGCAGAAAGTGCTTGCTTTCCCTCAAGAGAGAATCTGGTGACACAGAAACAAAATGCATGCCGTAGCCTCTGCCTGCCTGCAGAGCCCAGGATATCAGACTCGGCCCAGCAGACACTGTGTCTCCTCCTAGGCCTGGCTGGAGCTGCTTGGACTCCCTGAGCCTTGGTTTTCCTCTCTGGCCAAATAGGGCCATGGCCCCCCACTCCCTTGGACAGAGGGTCTCCTCTGTGTGTCCGGCAGCATCCTGCGGGCCGCTCCGCGGGGGGCGCTGCAGACATGTGGCCACCGTGGACAGCCTGGTGCTTCTGGCCCACCCTTGGGGGCACAGCAGCCCAGGTTCCGGCCCCCGGGGTGCTTGCAGCCACTGAAGGTGGCCAGAGCTGATGTCACAGAGTGGCCGCCGTCCCCATGTGGCTGTTTCACCGAGTGTGGGCTGACACCCCAGCTCTACCCCATGACCTTTTCAGCTCTCCGAACCTTGACCATTGCAGACTGGTTCGGAGAAACCCTCCCATAAGAGCAACCTCTGACTCGGATTTGCCTTAGGTTGTCTCAGGACGTGGTTTTGGCGCTGGCGGGACCGAAGCCGGAGGGCGGCCGAGCAGAGAGCCCAGCTCAGGAGGGCGGCTGTGCATCACGGCCGGCGGCGGCTGCTGCAGGCCATGGCGCGGTGGAAGGCGCACCATCTGGGCTGTGTCAGGAAGCGGGTGAGGCAGGCGGTGGCTCCCAGGCAGGAGACCATCACCTGGGGAAGAGGAGGGCTCTCTGGCAAAACCCATGACCGCCAGGATGCTGGGTGATTGGGGTCCTGCGGGCACAAGGCTTCAGGGGCCTTTCTGGGAGGGCTAAGGGAAGCCAGCCTCTGGGTCGGGTCTCCTCCAGGCAGAAGGTGGCCCAGTAGAGAAAACTGGCTCATCCTGAAGCATGGGGTGTCAGAGCTGGGGGGCCTCCAGAGTCACCTCGACGCTCCTACAGGAGGCCTTGGCTTCGTCCAAGACTGCTCTTGGGGATGGGAGGACAGTTCTCTTGGGCCTGGAGCCTCTCACCCGAGGCTGCGCTCAGGTGATTGGCACACAGGGCCCTGACTGCTTTTAGCTGCTCTCTCCCCAGCTCCTGCAGAGGCAGGGTGCCCAGCTCCTGGCCCAGACCCGCAGCCGGGCCTGCTTCTGCCAGTGGAAACAACAGGTGGGAGCCAGCGAGAAGCCCCTTCCCCCTCCTACTGCTTCCTGAACCCACATTTAACTTTTTTATTATTTTTATTTAATCTCTACACCCAACATGGGGCCCAAACTCACAGCCCCAAGATCAAGAGCCTTACGCTCCACTGACTGAGGCACCCAGGCGCCCCCCCCACATTTAAAATGTTTAATTCCACCCTCGTCCCAGGGCTCCCCTAACCCCGGTCATTTCCCGGCACTGCCCGGTTCCTTCCACCTGTGACCTGTACAAGCCCAAGGCACTTCAGGGCCCTGTTTCTACAATGTCACATTAAAATATACTTTAGGGCAATTTCCAAAAATTAATATGAATGCATTTTAAGCCTTCGCCCAGGACGTGATAAAACACCAGGCAGGATTGTGTCATGCCCAGCACGCTGCCCCCGCTGGCTCCCGTCCCCGGGGCTCTGCCTTTGTTCTTCCCAGAGGCACACTCCTTGGTCCACCACCTCAGGACCGGGCAGCGCTGGGCCCTTCCCAGTGGAGGGAGGGCAGCACCTTGCTAGAAAAGGGTCTCAGAGTGACCAGGACCCCGTGGTCAGAGCAGCCTCCCTGAGGGCAAAACTTCCATGATCTTCTCTCTCCGGCCCATAGCTGGCGAACAGGAGGCGCGAGCAGCAGGGCACAGCCCGGGCCCTGTGGTTCTGGTCCTTCTCACTACAGGCAAAGGTAACGGTGGCTTCCGCCCCCTGCTGTGCCTGCCTCTCCCAGGGAAGGACCTCGCCTCAGTGGAGGGCAGGCTGGGTCGTGGGGACAGCCCCAGGGGGCGGGGGGAGGCTTAAGCAGGGAGAACTGGGCCTCATCTCCTCCCCCTGGAGGTGTGGGCCGCGTGGCTGGGCTTTGTGCTGGAAAGGAGGAGAAAGAAGGCGCGTCAGGAGCAGGCCATACAGGCCTACCACCGGCAGCTTCTCCAGGAGGGCGCCACGCGCCTCTTGCGGTTCACAGCTGGCATGAAGGCCTTACGGCAGCAGCTGCATGCCCAGCAGCAGGTGCAGGTGAGGGGTCCCCCATCCCTTCTCGCGAGGAGTGGGTAGGATACGGCAGGACCTGACCAGAGGCCTGTTGCAGGCGGCTCACAGTCTCCACCGTGCGGTCCATCGCTGTGCCATGCTCTGGAAACAGAAGGTTCTGGGCCAGGGCAGGGAGCCTCGGCCCCTCACATGCACCATGCCCAGCAGGAAAGTGACATTTGACAGACCCCTTTCCACCTGTGTCGAGGCTGGGGCTGGGGATGCCGCCCTGGAGACCAAGAAACCACAAGATCCTCATGGGCCCCGAGGAGCTTTGGGCAGCCTGTCCCTGGCTGCTGGGGACCCCTACCTCCTAGAGCTGTGAGTAGCCCATCCCTCGCCTCTTCTCCTTGCTTCTTGCCGGGAGTAAAAACTTGGACTACACAAGGAGGGAGGGTCACAGCTGAGCCGCATGGACCCCTTTCTCCAGCAGGACCCTGTCCCTCCCATATCATCAAGCCCAACCGAAGGGACCTCAGCCTCTGTACCTGCAGCATGTGGGGGAGAGAACATGTAGTTTTAAAAAAAAAAGTAATCAGCTGTAGGGCAGCCCCACCCTCATGCCCCTAGACCTTCCAGTCTCCCTGCTTCTCCCCTTCCAGCCAGGAAATGGGCTCCCTCTAGGAAGCCCCGCTGTTCGTGACCTGGCCCATCCCCACAGACCCGGCTGATGCAGCTGTCGGCTCCCAGAGTGACGAGCACTGCCTGAGCCTGGCAGAGAGGTCACCACTGGGGTGGGGGACTGGCCTGGGCCTCAGTCTGCTCGGCTTCCCTTGCCACCGGACCCCGACAGGGCCTGACCCCGATGAGCCCGCTCCCCCTCTGATGTGGGAGGAGCACCTGTGTCACTGGGTGGCTGCAGAGGTCAGATGAAATGAGGCGGCCGAGGCATCCCCACAGCATCGGGCTCACTTCATTGGAATTACTGGAAGTACTTTGGGGCCCAGGCCCACTCCAGCTCACCTGCTGACCTTGGGCCAGGGCCTTTCCTTCTCTGGCCCCCAGTTTCCCTGTAAGATTGGAGGGGGCCGGACTGGATGCCCCAGGCAGCCAAGAGGAACAGGCCTGTGTTTCTTCCCAGCAATGCTGCCCGCTTGGCAAGAAAGCAACCTCGACGCCCACATTTCCTGCTGGAGCCGGTGCCGAGCCAGAGGCCCCTGGGGTGTGGCACCCTCGGGGGGAAAGGGTATGCTGTGTGGTCCTAGGGTGGGTGGCCTCCTTTCCTTCCTGCTCCTCAGGCGGATGCTGCGGCCTGACCAGCTCCTGCCGTCCCTCTGCTTAGGCCTGAGGCACCGAGGGCGTGCGACCCGGGTGTGGCCCAGCCTGCAGGCCCTGCCCTGAGGAGGCCTTTCCTGCCAGTGGCCTGGACAGCACCGGTCCCAAGCAGCGTCCTGCCCCAGCCCGGGGCCCTGCTGGGTCACCCTGGCCCGAAGCTGCCCCCCACGTTGAATACAGGCCCAGAGCTGCTGCCCCCTTCGTCCTTCATGCCATGTGGGGAGCAAGCGCCTGCCAGGGTAAGTCCTCCTGGTCACCTGGGGTCTCATACTTCGGTCTGGCCTTCGGTGCTCTTCCTCACACACTCGCTTGCTTCCAAGAGCACTGCCGGCTCGGAAAGGTGCTGGGAGGCCACTCATGCCTTCACCAAGTGCAGGCGCCCCTGTCCTCGGGACCCAGTAGGTAAAGGCTGCTGAGGCCCCCACTGGTGAAGCTTATGTCCCAGAGGTGGAGACCGAAGAAGAGCCCCGGACATAGATGAAGACACTGCAGATCACGGAGGGTCCAACAGGCCCAGGGGAAGCGTCTGGATTTTAAGTAGAAAGTAGTGGGGGCCGGTTGGCAGCTGTGATCCCATGGGCCAGCAGGTGCTGGGAGCCAGGATTAGGTGGTGGCTGGGCTGCGGGCAGAGCCCCTCGTGGGAGGCAGACTAGGCAGGACCTGCTCCGATGGGTTTGAGAAGGGTGAGGAAGGAATCCAGGATGGCTCTTGGGTTTCTGGCATGAATAACTCCAGGAATAAGGAGTTCTTTACGGAAAGAGGGAAAACGGGGGGTGGGGGGAGAGGCCTGTCTGGGGTAAAGCCTGAGGAGTCTGTCTTGAACCTGTCCAATTTGGGATAAAGCAACAAGATTCTGAGTGTGGCCTTCGGGGAGGAGGTCAGGGCCGGAGAGCAAAACAGAGTCTGAGATGTAGTTGTTGAAGGTAAACCCCTGGGAACCGAAGAGAATCGTTCCTGGGAGGAGGGGGGCGGTGGCTCCCCAGGGCATGTGACAGCCAGATGGAAGAGTCTGGGCACAGATGGCAAGGGGGTGCAAGAAGGCACGAGTGCTCAGTAATAGAGGAGATAGCGGCAGGGTTGGGCCCCCCCCAAGAGTTGATGCCCACAACTGGTCGATGGTCACCAGAAGGGAATGGAGGGTTGTAGATGTGTGGTCTGCCCAGGACAGTTGCCCTGGACCACTTTTCCTCACTGAAGTGCAGGGGCCCAGCTCAGAGCGGGGGCGGTGCCGAGCCAGGCCCTGGGGCAGGAATGGGACTGGACTGCACAGGTGTGGGGTGTTCTTGGGCTGCTTACGGGATTTCCTCACGTCAGGTCTGAAGAAAGGGGCAGGGCCGGGCCCGGCCTGGGTGAGCTGGTCGGTGGGCAGCCTGGGTGCCTCTCCCCTAGCCTTCCTCCCTGCTTCTGTGCTCATCCATCCTCCCTTTACAGGCACCTGCACAGCCCACCACCCCTGGGCTCACAGCCCAGGCCTCGCCATCCCCAGCCAGTGTCCCTCACTCCCGCCTGCTGCTTCCTGGGGACTTCACAGGCACCGGCAGGCGTGGCTCCGCAAGCGCGGGTGCGCAGCTGAAGCCTGTCAGCACCGAGGGTGCTCGGGCCACTCCCGATGCCTGGGATCCCTCCATTCAGCCTTGGCCTAGCCGGGACCGTGGTCCAGATCCAAGAGCTTGTTCTGTCACCAAGGGCCCCATGGACCTGGAGGCAGAGCTGGAGGGCATCCAGCAGCAACTGCAGGACTATCAGACCATGAAGCAGAACCTCTCGTAAGACCCAGAAAAACCCCAGCTGTTTCTCCAGAGCGCACTGCCAGGGTCCTTGGTGGGGGGGCAGAGGACGGGGTGTCCTGAGGCCCACCCAAGGTGCTTGCGGAGCTGGGTGGTGGAGCCCTCCCCGCACCACCACCACCCCCCCACCCCCGCCGCCGAAGTAGCAGATGCACTGCTTCCCCACCTGGAGGCGTGCGGCCAAGGGCCCAGCCAGGTTGGCAGCAGGTGTCTCCCTCGGGCAGGTCCTGTCAGCGGCAAGCAAGAAGCCTGCGCCGGTGGCTGGAGCTGAGCCACGAGGAGCCCAGGCCGGAGGACCAGGAAGCAGAGCGGCAGGTGCAGGAAGAACTACAGGAGGTGAGGCCCCAGGCAGCCCTCGAAGGGCTTCCCCCCCTCCCCCTCCCCACCCCGGGGCTCTGCTCAGCCTCCCCTCCCCTGCCCCATCCCCCAGGTGGAGCAGCAGATTCAGCGGCTGGCCTCTGAGCTCCAGGCCCAACGCCAGCCCATCAGCACCTGCATCGCCCGCGTCCAAGCCCTGCGGCGGGCTCTGTGCTAGTCACTGCCCCAGGGAGGCCTCAGCCCACCTCCAGGAACAGAACGCAAGGCTGCAATGAGTTTGAGTTTTATTTTTTATTTCAAAATGTGGCAATTAAATGAATTACTGGTCAGAAGTCTCCCACTTTTCATACAAAAATACTGTGCTACTGATACAGTTGAAAGAGTTCAAATGGCTTCTCCTGCAGGAGAAATTCACAGCGTCCCCAGGAAACCTGAACCCTGGCCCCCACTGTCCGTGGCTCCCTAAGGACCGTGTACCTGTTACCTGGGGACAGGTGTTGTAGGCACTGACCCGCCCCCCTCCCAATACACCAAGGCTCCTTCCTCTGCCTCCAACACAAGCCCCTGAATCAATAGCAGCAACTTACCACGTTTCTGTGGGTGTGGATATGGGGGTGGGGTGGGGAGTGGAACGAGCTCTCCCCTGGCCCCTGCCTGGCCGCCACTACCTGCCTGTCCATTCACTCTGGACACCACTGGGGGGCGGGGGTTCAATAACTGGTCTTGCCTACTGGAAAGAGGACTCGCCAGCTCTGGAAGGTCACTCACTGGGGCCAGTCAAGTGCCATGCCATCAGTCCCCCTCGTGTGATGCTGGCGGAGTCAAGGAGGAGGTGTTCAGCCACAAGTGCAAAGAGACAGCTTTTCCCAAACGAGCAGAGTGGGGTGAATTGGGAACAGAAAGCGGTTGTGTTAAAGGCCACATGGCGCTGCTCCGGGGGCAGCACAGCCCAGTCAGTGCAGGGGAGGCTGAAAAGCAATGATGAGAGCAGCAGGAACGTATATAACCACTTCTGTCTTACAACAGAAATGAAGACCAACTGAACACCCAGCCAAGAGATGTATAGGGTCTCCAGTTTATACAATAGGTTAAAAAATCTCCAAAAGGGAATTTGAGATCTTGGCCTGCATGTTCTCTTTAGGGTGGGAAGAGGGACGACGTAGGTCCAGGGCCGACATGGGCTCTGACCTCACCCACACCTCAGAACGGCAGGAACTAGTCAGCCAGGTCCTGCATGGTCGGGCCCCATAGCCCTGAGACTGTCCCCTCCCCAGACAGCTGTGGAGGCTCCCCGTAAAAGACCCTCCCGTTTCTGTTGAGAAAGCTCCCTCAGTAGCTTTCCTCAGCCGCCAGGAAGGAGGCTCTAGAGGGAGCCCAGAGCCTCTCCGAACCGGATCTTCTGTCCTGCTTTCAGCTTGAAGTTGAAGTCCTTGGGGGCCTCAAAGATGAGCACGATGGTGGAGCCCAGGTTGAACTCGCCCAGGTGCTCGCCCTTGCGCATGGGGATGCCCTCCTTGTTGGTGTGTGTCACGAAGCTGAAGTCATTGTAGGAGCCCTTGCTGTAGCGCGGGCTGTTCGTGTGCAGGTCCTGCAGGAGGTCCGAGGCAGAGCGTGTGGGGTCTGCTCCTGGACCCAGAACACCTCTCTGCTGCCTGTCCCCAACCCAGCCTGGAAAGGGAGCTGGGGACAGCGACTTGGCCCATAAGCCTAACCAGTCTCCAATAGCAGCTGTGAACCGGGACCCGCCGGGGGCAGGGGACATAGAGGAATCAGACCCCACTCTTCACCCCGAGCAGGCGAGGGGCAACCACAAGCTGACACACAGAAAGGCATCCCCCCCCCCCCCTTCCCCTCAGACTCTCGGCTTCCCATCAGCATGGCCCACCCTGAGCTCCATACTGTATCCCCTGGGTTGCCAGCAGAAGCAAAGTGCAGGCTGGGAGGTGAACCCCCTCCCTGTCCAGCCATCTCCAGATGAGCAAGCGACAGCACATGTGGGGTCGGGGCTGGCAGAGCAGGAGCCCAGGGTCCAGCCCCTCCTCGGGGCAGCTGCTCCACAGGGTCAGGCCTGGCTGGGGACACGCCCTTCTAGAACTTACAGTCCCAACGGACCTGGCTCCACAGGAGAAGGGGTTGGGGGGACCCCAAGTGGCCCAGCCCTTGGGCCTGTCTCTGCTTACCCGGTCAAAGTAGATGCGTATGGAGCCCACGTTGGTGGCCCCCACGGCCGTCAGCGAGAAGAAGCCGTGTTTCCAGTCCCCAGTGAGGACCACCCGCTCGTTGTGGCAGAAAAGCTCTTTGATCCAGCGGGCCATGCCGGGGTTCACGGACATCAGGGAGCCTGCGGGGGCAGGGACACTGCCATTCCCCACCCGGCAAGAAGACTAGCCTCCCAGAGCCCCATGTCCACCCATCTCCTTCCGAATGCTGAATGGGCTAGACCCCAGGCTGCCCCCTGCCGCCCCCACCCGGCCAGACTAGAGCAGTCACCTCCCAGTCTCAGCACCCCGAGTGTGGAGCCTCGGTCCCTCGACACCAAAAAAGGAGTGAGGCTCTGGGCCAACCTGGGAAATGGCGCCGGTGGGAAACTGTCCAGTCAGTGGGGGAGTGGAAGCAGTGGTAGTCCCCGGGGGCCAGGTAGATGACACAGTGGTAGAGCTCGTTCCCTTCTCGAGTGACCAGCTGGTTCCTGAAGGAGCCGCAGGGGGTGGCTGTGGGAGGCAGACATGAGGGCCCGGCTCTCAGACAAGCTTGACCTGAGCCCTCAGGGAGGCCCCAAAGCCCCACACAGTGACCGCTGGCCCTTCCCTCCCGATGCATTCCCGTCTTCCTCTGTGAGGACCAGCCCAGCCACGCTGCCACAGGGTCGCAAGGCTGCCACCAGGCAATGACCCACCTGGCGGGAAGGGCAGGTCATCCGTGGAAGTGCGCGGACCCAGGAACGACTCCAGCGAGTAGGTGACCCCCTTCACCTGCTCCACCTCGCAGTTCTTCACCTGCCCAAAGTTCAGGATCTTCCCGTCTGACGGGCTGATCTGGAAGGGCCGAGAAAGGTTTGCTACTAAGGAGGCAGGGTCTCCGCCTCCCCAGGGGCCCAGCCTGGGAGGAGTACCCACAGGTCACCTGCAGAGACAGCAGGGGCAAGAATCCCATGGGGGGGGGGGCGAGGGCGGGGCCGGGCCTCACCACGCTGTGCAAGCCACAGACGGGCCGGGCCTGCGGCTTCAGCTTGCGCCGGAAGAACTCGCTGAGATTGCGGTAGTGGTGCAGGTCCTCCACGGCGGCCTCCTTCATGTTCACACCGAACGTCCAGATGTACAGGCTGTAGACAGGCCGGCGCAGCCAGTGCGGCAGCTCCACCTGGTTGAGGCGGCCCCAGGCCCGCGACAGCAGGCGCGTGGGCACCGACTTGTACAGGGCCACCTGCAGGCCACGGACAGGCAGATGCACAACGGCCCCGTGTGCCCCCCAGCGCCCCTCCCCCCGGCCCCGGAGACCTGGGCACCCCGCCACGGCTTTGTGATGTGGTTGTTGCCCACTAGGAACCAGACTGAGCTTCCCAAACACTCTCACAAACCGAGTACTGGCCGAGACCGACACAGTGACTTAAACTCAGGGGCATCAGTCACGACGCACTTTGCGCACGGTCCCCAAGGAGAGGCCGGCCAGCGCGGTCCTTCTTTAGGAAAGGCGGAGCGTGACCGGCTCTGCCCCCCGCACAGAGAGGCTGCGGCAGAAAGGGCCGGGGTCCCAGTGCACAGGTGAGTCTACAGCCCCAAGCGCGCATCCGGTCCGAACAGGAAGCAGAGGGCACCCCCACACCAGATGTGCTGTACCACAGCCACCAGAGCCCGCCCGCCGGGCCTCCCCCAGCCAAACTCTCGGGGCCAGGCGACCTGGAGGGGATGCCTCTCAAGCCTCAGGTGCTGCTGCCACAGCAGGACCTGCCTCTAACCGGCAGCTGGGGCCTGTCAGCCCGACCTAGACACCAAGTCCCCAGGGTGTAAAGGCAATTTCATTCCAAGTTTAAACACCTCTACGGTGTAACTCAGTCAGTGGCGCCCCAAACTCTTCCCAGCTGATGCCCATCAGAGCCCAGGGTTCCCTGCTTGGGGTCAGCCTGCCCAGAGAGCCCAGGGCCAGGGAGCTGGGCAGCCCTCGAGGGGGCGGCGGCCAGGTCGCTCCCTCACCCAGCCCTGCCTGGGGCTACCAAGTCCAAAAACACCCTAAGGGGCCCAAACAGGCACCAGCCTTCCTGAATCACCCTCTGGCATCCAGGAATTAATCTGCATTCTTCTCAAAATCACCTCTAAGCTCTCTTCTGCCCGAACACAGGAAATCACACACATTTTCTGAATGCCCAGTGTGGGTTCCTTCCAGAAGCAGAGCCCCCAAAGGGCACGAATGCAGGCAAGGAGAAGAGGCAGCATACAGCAAGCCCTCAGGGCCACCAACCAGCCTGGCCTTCCCAACCAGCTTGCCTGTCAAAATGACCATCCCGAGGGCTCAGCACCCACACCATCAGCTCTAATCTGACAACTGTCTCCTCCATTCTGTGTCCGGGACCCCAACCTTAGGCCCGCCCTGGCGTGTGGAGGGGAGCCAGGCCAGCAGCCTGCGCACACTTACCCTGCTCACGGGCCTCCATCCCACCCGGCTGAGCGGTCTGAGGGCACCGAAGGGCAGGAGGTAGTAGAGGACCGTCAGGGGCCAGGAGCGCAGTTTCAGGGCGGGTCTGGACATACAGCTCAACTGTCCCAGCCTCCGCCTCAGGGCCAGCTGAGGGAAGTGCAACCTGCAGAGCAGATGTCCGTGCATGGCCCAGGTCAGCGGTCAAGGTCTGGGAGGCCCCGCCCCACCCTCGGCAAGCTTGCCTCTCCGTGGAGTCCGGCAGCACTGGCCGCGGTCCCTCAACCCAACCCCAGGCTGAGGTGGGGGCTCCGCTGACTTTGTTCGCCAGACTCTCATCCCAGTCTCACCCACCTGCCTACCAGCTGAGGAGGACTGGGAATCGGGGGCAGCACAGGGAAGACGGGGTGCACAGCCTGCATCAGAGCACCCCCACCCCCACCCCTGGGGCCAGCTCTGCCTGGAGAGGCACCGGGGAGCAACCACTACACTGCAGGATCTTGGAAAATCTCCTCCTGGCGCTAGGCCTCGTTTCCTCATCTGATAAATGAAGGGATTGGGCCTGACAAGATTCCAAAGGAAAGCCCCCATGAACATGCACCTGTACACACACACGCCCACCAAACAGCTAAATCTCCACCCACTGCCTGGTCTTTCTACGTCAGATCAGGTTCTCCAAAACAGACCCAGAGACTGGAGGGAGGAACCTCCCCACCACCCCTCAGACCACCTCCCAGGTCTGCTGGGGTCACACACCTGAGCCAGGCTCCTCCTTTCTCTCCCCAGACCCCAGCAGCCCAAACTCAGTGCATTCAGCACAGGCTCAGCCTCGTGGGGATCTCAGAGGCTGGGTGGGCCTTTCCACCAGAACCCTGGCCTCCCAAGATACAACAGTGACACCCAAGTCCCCTGGTCCCATGCCTAGGCACTAGAAAATGCTCCTGAGGCCCAGTGCAGCCACCAGGAGACCACATTCCCACCCACACTGAGAAGGTTCCCAGGCCTCAGTTTCCTCATCTGCAAAAAGACTGCATTCAACTGGATAATCTAAGGCTCCCATCTGCGCCTTTATGCTCTCAGAGAAGCTGTGTCCTCTGCCTCAGGTTGCTGAACAAACCAAGGAACAAAGAAGCATCTCAGCTGATACTAAAAAGAAAAAACGGGAGAACCAAGCTAATGGTTGGGCACCTGCTGTTCAATGATTGCCATGGAAGACGCTTCTTTCCACAGCTCACCAGGCTCTCTGTCTTCCTTCTTTCCCACCCCACCCCACCGTGTTTTCAAAAGGTCCGGGAAGGAGGTTGGGGCCAAGCAAAGCTGAACAAATCCCTGCTGTCCCCAGGGCTTCCCCCACCCACCCTGATCACTGCAGAAGCCCAGGGACCAATCCCAGAAGAGCGGCACCTCTCCCCGAGCGGGGGGTGGTGGGGGAAGCCCGGGGTGGGGGCCTGGGAGCAGCAATTAGGATGCAGCAGACAGAAGGCCACCAGCCCGCTCCGTCTCCCCAGGTACCTGAAGCGGGCTCTCCGACTCAGGCCCCCTGGGCCGGGCCCCTCCAGCCTCGGGGGCTGATCCCCTGGCCCCCTGCCGCCACCTCCACCGCGGGGCCGCTGGACGTGAACTCTGACCTTCCGGAGGTCGTGGCGGGGCACAGTGGGGTTAGCACGGGGCCGGCAGCATCTCACCATTTCGCTGCTCCGAGCTCAGGTCCTCGCCGTGCCTCTGACTGACACATGGTGGGCGGCGCCAGGCACACTCGCCTTTGTTTCTCCTCCTTCCTCCCTTCCCCCCAAGCCAGGAGCTCCTGCGCTGTCACCACTCCTCGGGCTGGCCGCCTGGTGGCTGGTGGGCCGCTCCCCGGCGTGGTTGGGTCCCGCTGGCTCACCGGGCGCAGGTTAGAGGTCAGGGCTATTGCAAAGACAGGCACTGGTCACACCTGCTCGGGAAGCGGCAGGGGGGCCTGCCGCCCGGGACACAAGCCCCTGCCCTCCGCCCACTCTGTCCCCGGGATTGGCCACCGGCCCGCTCCAGTGAGCTCATGGCAGGGAAGGGGCCAGGAGCCTACGAGCCCAAGAAGCACAAGTGGGAATCTGAGTCCTGTGCTCCAGGCGGGAGCCCAGCGTCGGCCAGTCTGCGGCTCGGGCAGCCCCTCCCTCGCCATGACCTGACCCACTTTCCATTCAGGTGCCGAAGTAGCATCTGAGGAATGAGAGAGCAGGAAGGCAGGAGAGGCACAGAGGGCGAGACGCTGGACATCTGACCTGCTCCAGCTCTCTCCTTACTGCCTCCCGGGCCTCAGAGCCTCCCACCCCTGTACCAACCCCCACAAGGCCTCCTCAGCAGACGAGCACACACATGACCTGACCTGAGGGAAAACCAACCAGGACTGAAGCCCAAACCAGCGCGCGCCCCCCTCCCATCTTTGCTTTGGACAGCACTTTGGCCCTGCCGGGCGATCTGGGATGGGAGGGTACGCCCAGCCTCCACAAGGCCCTCACAGATAACAGGGGAAGGAGAACAAACATTCCACGGTTGTTGCTGTCTAAGCCCAGGGATAGTCAAGGCCCCACTCAGCCTGGCCTCCAATCCCAACTGCAGGCTACAGGGGACAGGTGCCTGCCACCATCTTTAGATGTAGAGATTCGGGCCCCAAGAGAAGCTCCCAAGGCAGAGAACTGACCTGGCCGCGGACGCGGTCCCAGGCCAATGCTGACCCCCCACACAGCCAACTGACTGACAAGAGCGAGAGGCCCCACTCGGACATGGCTCCACCCACACAAGGGTGAAATGTCGCCCTGGCAAAGTCACCTCAGCCAGAGGTGAAAATGCTAGCCCCTGGAGAGTCAAATCCCTGGGAGTGCAGTGTGCAGTGAGAGCCAAGGCTAAGGTCTGAAAGTTAGCATGGATTTCCAGCCCCGACCAAGTAAGTGGCAAGGCCTGGGCCACCCCAGGCCCAGACCCCTCCGGCAGAGATCAGCTCCCCAGGCCACTCGCCTGAGTGGCAGGACAGCTCACTGGGGGTGAGCCAGGCGGGACGGTGCCCACCACCCAGCCTCACCCAGAAGCACATATGGACATACAAGCCTCCTCCGTCCCAAGGGCCAGGCCCAGGGACCCATGGACACCCCCGTGTCTATCTCCCACCCATGCTAAGCCTCCTAACTTTCCCATCCATGACAGTCGGGTCACCTCAACTATACCGCCCGCGTACTGAGCCCACACCCCGCCCCTCCAAGGCCCACCAGGCCACGGGGCCCCACACTGGCCCCCCGTCAGCTCCCCAGGGAAAGAGGCGCCAAGGTGTGACAAGCAGACAGGGTCAGGCACGGCACTTGGCCCCCAAGCACTCTTTCCCCCACTCTAGAAAGCCTGGACTGAGCGCACACCTGGGATTCACAGTGAGGCCAGTGAGGCCTTGTGGGAGAGGATGGGAGCCCGCGTCTCCTCTTGCCCATTTTCCGCACTAGCCTACCACACGGGGCAGAGGCCCCCGCAGCACGCCGCCGGAAAGGCACCTGCCAGAGCCCATACACAAACCTAGTTTGGCCCGAAACCTCCAGTCCTCAAAGTAGATTTCTATGGGTGCTTCTCCCATTTCATTCACCCCAGGGCCTCCAGTCCAGGGACTTGGCTAGGGTAGGGTGGGTCCTCACCCTTCCTCCTGCAGTGCAGGGGTGTTCAAGGAGGCTGGCCCAAGTTGCTGCGATCCTAGTGACTCTAGAAACTGCCCCAAAGGGCTGGCAGGATGTCCTTAGCCCTCAGTCCTGTCTCCATCACCACTCTTCCTCTTTGGAAATGGGACAGGGACCAGACTGTCAGGCTTCTTCCAAATCACCATGCATGGGCCCCAGAAGGTCCCCAGGGAGCAGAAATGAATTCATCTGTCCCCCCAGGAAACAGGCCTGGCACCCTCTGTCCAGCTCAAAGCTGCAGGATGGAGGGAAGGGGGTCCCTAAGGGTCATTCATTCCTTCCTGCTTCCCAAAGGCTGAGCCACTTCCTAGGCCAACAGTGCTCCCGCCCTCCCCATTTCAGTGCCCCACTTGCCCCCACACCTGCGATGACCCTTAGAGCCCAAGCCAAGGCTCGCTCTCCGGCTCCCTGGAGTGGGACTAGGGGCTCAGGCCCAGATGAGGAACCTGCAAGGAGGGTACCCTGAGGCGAGGAAGTACAGACACTTTCCATCTCTCCCCACTCTCAAGAACACTCTGTGGAGAAGAGTTGTGAGCTGTGACCAGTAGGAGTTTAAAGTTATCACAAGGCCTAAGGGCCAGCCACAATGCACAGGAGAGCTCAGAGGCTTTGGTAGGGGAGGGGACAATCCAGTTACTGCAGTCCTGGCTGCCCTGCCGGCCCTGAGAGCTGGGAGGGGCCTTGCAAGTCACAGGTGCTCTGTGGCTATGTTTCCTCATCTGGAAAATGGGAAGGGTCACTCCTCCTGCTCACTCCCTCGAGGCTCAGATCATAGCAGTGACCGTGGCCCAGAACTCTACTCTGTTCAGAGACACCACACCTCACTTCCACCCTAGACCTTGGTGCAGCCTCATCCCCTGGACCTGACTCCCAACACCTCACCTCCGTTTCCAAACCCACACTCTGGGAGGACGGAGGTTTGTTCCCACTGGCAAGATGGAAGGAACAGGGTAGAGGCAGCAGTTCTTAAAGAGCCCAAACCACGGGGGGCAGTGGCTGCCCTTCTGAGCAGGAGCAATGGCCCAACGGGACCAGGTCTGGGGGGGGGAGGGGTCACCTATGTCTGGATGTCCTGTTCTGGGAGTTCACACCCGAGCAGTGCTCAATGTCCCCATCTACGCCTCACAGCCTATGATGAAGGCAACACTACCCCCTCAGTGGAATGGAACATTCCAACTGAAGTCAGCCGGAGGGACCCAGGACCCAGGCCAGTTACCGGTTGCTAGAGGTGTGGGGGCGGGGGCTAGTGGGAGGCAGGCTTCTGCCTGGTTCCCTTGGACTCTGGTGGATTCAGGTTTGAGTTTTGGCAAGGCCAGGAAGGCAGGGACAGAGTCGGGACTGTGCCCCCAACAAGCACTCCCTGAGCACCAAGGGCCTTGCAGCCAGGCGCAGCCAGGCACAGGTCCTGCCAGAGACACTGAGAAATTTGCTCTTGCCCCGAGTGGAACTCTCACTGGGTGCCAGTGTCACTCCTGAAGCCTCAGCAGAAAGCCTCAGAGTCCCCAAGTCCTAGGTCTACCTGCCTTTCCTTTTATTTTTATTTTTTTTAAAAAGATTTTATTTCTTGGGGCGCCTGTGTGGCCCAGTCGTTAAGCGTCTGCCTTCGGCTCAGGTCATGATCCCGGGGTCCTGGGATCGAGCCCCGCATCGGGCTCCCTGCTCCGCAGGAAGCCTGCTTCTCCCTCTCCCACTCCCCCGGCTTGTGCTCCCTCTCTCACTGTGTCTCTCTCTGGCAAATAAATAAATAAATAAAATCTTTAAAAAAAAAAGATTTCTTTATTTGAAAGACAGAGACACAGAGAGAGCAGGAGCTGGGGGAGGGCGGGAAGAGGGAAAGGGAGAAGCAGGCTCCCGGCTAAGCAGGGAGCCCAACGTGAGGCTTGATCCCAGGACCCCGGGATCATGACCAGGGCGGAAGGCAAAGGCTTAACCAATTGATCCACCCAGCCACCCCCCTGCCTGACTTTCTGAGCCCACTTCTCCCCCAGCTCACCTGAAGCATGCACAGGCAGCTGTGTCCAGGGGGGCCACCAACCCTTCCTCCCTGCGTTCCAGGGCTAGAAGTAGATAAAACTTCAAGAAGAGGAAACAGGGAAAATGGATTCTCCCCAGGTGAAATGGGCGAGCCATCTTGGGGAAGCTTTGGGTAAGAGAAGAGGAAGCAAAGAGAAGGGCCCAGAGAAGCTTCTTTAAAGCCGGTGGCCAGGGAAGGGCAGGTGGAGGAGGGGAAGGTACTCCTCACAGCGCTGGGCTTCCTTAAATCTCCCAAAGAACCTTCTCTCAAGGATGGGGCTCTGCGAAGGGCAGTGTGTTACCCCCATTCCGCCCCTCGGGTGAGGAACTGGGAACACATCCAGTCCCACCCAGGAACAGGGCCGCTTCCCTCCCCGACTGGCGCCGGTCAGGCCCCGTGGGCAGCACTGAGGCAATCACCCAGAGCTCTCGGTGCAGGAGGGGACACGGAGCCCCAGCCCTGCATTTCCCCTTTCGGCTGGAGGGCCAGGAGATGCTACCCGACGCGGCGGAAATGAGCTCATCCGGCGCGGCCCGTGACCCACCATGTGGGGCAGGAGAAGCCCACAATGCGATGGAGACTGTGGGGTGGGCCCTCCAGCCCCAGGGTCCCACAGTTCCAAGGGGCAACGGGCACCCAGGACGCCCGTTCCGGGCTCCGGGCGCTCAATGGCTCACTCACCCGCAGGTGGTCCCGTCCCGCTGGGCTTCAGGCACCGACTCTCAGGGAGGCACCACTCCGGGGAGGAAGCCTCGGCGGGCGGGGACTCGGCTCCGGCCACTCAGACCGCCTGGGGGCGGGGGCAGAGGACGGATACCGGACACCGGCAGACAGACGGCTCCTCCCTCCAGCCAGGCCCAGCCACTGTGCCCAGGGCCCCTTTAAGAGGAGGGGCTGCGGCCCAGGGACCAGCCCCCGCCAGTCACGGGATTTCCTGGCGACACCTCCTGGGCCAGGGGCCGTCCTCCCTGCCCACCCCGACCCGGGTAAATAGTCCCAGGCCTCCACATGAGGCTGATCTCACCCAGGGCCAGCTTCCTGGGACTGAGCAGAAAGCCACCTCCAGGCACCTTTTCTAGCCCTTGAAGCACACACAAGGTAACTAAGTCCTGGCTCTTTGCCATCCTGAAGCTACAAGCTGCCCCCAGTCTCACCCCTGCCCCCTCTCCTCCAGGCAGACACACCCCTACCGTACAAAACCCCTGCCACACAAAATCTGGCCTGGCCAGGGAACCAGACCCAGTAAGCAAAAAGTCCCTTCTGGCCTCAAGGGGGGTGGGGGGAATTCGTGCAGTGTCTTTCTACCCCACTAGACGGCAGGGCCCAGCCTGGGGGTGGGGGTGGGGGGTCAGTACCTCATTCCCATGCCCACCAAGCACTCGCTCCACAAGGGATGGAAAGAAGGAACCAGCTTAACATTTTCTAGGCGAGACAGAGTGATGGGAACACCAAAAAGGTGTGGAATTTGGGAACCGGATTAGCATCTGGGTAGGTCAGCACCCCTTCCAATGGTCAGACTGCCTCAGAAAGCTCAGTCTTCCAACAACCCTTGCTTCCTCTGACCACTGAGAATCTGGTTTCTGAAGCAACATTTGGAACAGAAGAAAGAGCCTTCTGGCTTGTAAAGAGATGGGCAGCTGGGCCCAGGCAGGACATGGTGCTGTGCAGACAAAGCCCCACACACCTGTCCTCATCTGGATCCATCCCAGCAAGTGCGCTGTGACAAGCTACAGACCTGGGATGCTGCAGCGGAGAGAAAGCCAGAAGACGGGGGTCCCTCCTCAGGGACTTCCATAATATTGGACACCCACAATGCATAGTAGGAACACGGAAGCAGGGAGCCCCCCTGGGGCTTAGGTTCCAGCACATGGCTGGTGAATACCCAACATGGGCTGCACCTCACGGTTTCCTGGTCTGGGCCCACAGCATTCTCTGAGCCTCAGTGAGACTTAAGACCCCTCTCACCCCAGAGCTCCAAGCAAACACACCGCAAAGACAGGACAAAAAGGAGTTAAAGCACAGGAAGATAACACAGAATCCCGGCAACACTAAATTCCAGAACCAGAAAGATCCTGGAGGACCATTCTCACTTCCCCCAAGGCTGGAGGACCATTCTGACTTCCCCCAAGGCTGCCGGCACTTCCAGACCAGGCCTAGTCCAAGTTACACTCGGGGGAAGGAAGACAGAAGCCCAAGTTCTCATTTGCTGAGCAGCCTTTGGAGCACCAGTGCTCTCCCTGTAAAAGGAGCAACAGGCCACCCCACGTCTACCAGAGTCCCTTTATCACCACTGTAAGCCTCTCAGGCAGACTGTTGTTTAGAAAACTTGTAAGCCAGCCCACAGGTCTGTCCTGAGATCAGCCTTCTAGTCTGACTTCCACCACGTATGTTTCTTAGTAAGGAAATGCCTTCTAGATTCCAGACAATAGTTAATGATTTCTGGGAAAAACAAAAATCCTTTGTTAAGTTTAGGTTCCCACCCTGAATAAGGTCCCTTCCAGCCACACTGGGTCCTCCCACCTTGCTGGGACTCCCCTGAGAGTGCCACCTAGTGCCACTTCAAGGCTCTGCAGGCCCCCCGCCACTCGGCCACCAGCACCTGCAGACAGGCGTCCACGGTCTGTCAAGCCCCTGCAGCTCCGTGCTGAGTGAATTTCATGCGCTGCTGTGCCAGGGGATGAAGGTAACGGTGGGGCAGGGGTGGCAGGTGCAGTCTGCTACTTCTCATTCCCTGGGGGCCAGGAGAGGCCTCCTGAGGAAGACCAGTAATGGCTGGTCTCACGGCTGGCGCAAGATGCCATGGGCAAGTTAGCAGCCTCGCAAAAGTCTGGACAAAGAGCCAGGACAAGCATGACGTGGCCTCAGGAGATCTCTTCCTCTGAAAGCTTCTCCCAGCCCTGCCAAATTGCCCCCTCAAATGCGCAAATGTTTCTTAGCAGTCCCACCAGCAGCTCCTGGAAGAGGGGGCCCAGAGGAGGGGCGGTCTGCAGCATGATAAAGGAAAGTGATTGGTGGCAGAACAGCCTAGCAGAAAGTGCCCCACAGGGCCCTGAAGGTGTCTGAGTCAGCCACCCTGGACTCCTTCCAGCCCCAGAGCTCAGCTTTGTCTTTTTCTCATCTTCTTTGGGCAGAGTCCTGGGCTCTGCCACACACTGCTGCTCAAAGCCTCAGGAGGCAGGTAGTTCCCAACTAGTGAGTGGTACAGGCACAGAGCTGTCCCTGGGCTGGGGGGAGGCAGGGAAGAGGCAAAGGATGGAGTAGGGGGGCCTGGGGCTGGGCTGAGCGACCTGGGGGAGTGGCTGCCACAGTTCCTCCCAGGTAGGGGCCCCGAAGCCCCTGATACACCCTTCTGCCCTTGAATGAGCCCAAGATTCTCTGAGGACAGAGCTGGGCTGTAAACTGTACCTAAGCGGGTGAGGGGATCGACTTCCCTGCCAACCTGACTGCCCACTTCAACATCCACATCTCCTCAACACCTATTAGGTTAAGAAGTAAAACGGTCTAGACATACTTCAGAGATACTGCGGGTTTGGTTCCAGCCTACTGCAACAAAGCAAATGTCAAAATAAAGCAAATCGAATGAATTTTTTGATTTCCCAGTACATATAAAAGTTATGTTTACGCTACGCTATATATTAGTATATTAAATATGCAATAGCATTATGTCTAAAAAACCAATGTACATGGGATGCCCAGATAGTTCAGTGGGTTAAGCATCCGCCTTCAGCTCAGGTCATGATCTTGGGATCCTGGGATTGAGCCCCACAGCGGGCTCCCTGCTCAGTGGGGATCCTGCTTCTCCCTCTCCCTCTGCCTCTACCCCTCTTGGCTCGTGCTCTCTCTCTCTCTCAAATAAATAATAAAATCTTAAAAAAAAAAAGCAATACAGTATGTAATTAAAAAATATTGCTAAAAAATGTTAGCTATCATCTGAGCTTTCAGCAAGTTGCAGTCACTGATCACAGATCACCGTAACAAATATAATAATGAAAATGTTTGAAATACTGCAAGAATTACCAAAATATGACACAGGGGCACAAAGTGAGCAAATGCTGTTGGAAAAATGGCACTGACAGACTTGCTGGACACAGGGTTGCCACCAACCTCCTATTTGTAAAAAGAACGCAATTATCTTTGAAGCGCAATAAAGCAAACTGCAATAAAATGGGGTGTGCCTGCATGTACTGAATTTCTACTCCCTGCCAGCATGGGACGAGGTATTTACACATATATCCTTCCCGGTTAACAACCTTATGAGGAAGTTAATAGCAACCTGTTTACAGAGAAGAATGAAAGCTATAATAATTATATAAAGTCGTAAAAAGTGCAAACCATGTTCAATACTGTCCAGGGTCCCGGACACCACAGCACAGAGGGGCATGCCGAGTGCCGGCCAGTGGGGCTCCGGGCAGGTGGGCAGGAGCACGGGCACAAGGCAACGTGTGGGCACAGGCTGATCTGTCCTCATTTCTTTTCACAAACTGGAAGGCTGCACCATACATTTTTAAGGTTCTAAACTAAGGCTGGAAATAAGAAAACAGTGCTAATGCAGGGAGTGAGCGTGGATGCGGGCCCAGCTGCTCCTGACTGAGGCCTATTGTCAATGCTGCTGGTCCCTGGACGCTTCAGACCTTGCCACAAGCCCCATGGCCAGGCCAAAACCAAACAACAAAACCAAGTTGTTGTTAAGCTCGGATACAAACTAAAGTATTCAGAGTTGAAGTTTCATAATGACTGCAACGTACTTTCAAATGGGTCAGAGAAAAATTTAAAATATATATATGTGTATATATACACACACACAGAGACAAAGCAGATATGATAAGACATTAACTGTTCAATCAAGAGGTGTGTATGTGGGTGTGACTCTATTCTCTCAACTTTTCTCCTCTGTTCAAAAATGTTCACAATAGAAGAGTTGGAAGAGTTTGCTTTAAACCACAGAAAATTCTCTAAATTCTGTTACTGGGGAGAAAAACCCAAGACCACATCCCACATGCAGAGCTTCTCCGGCTCTTAGGGGAGGCACAACAGCCAGGCCTGCTCTCGGTGCCCACAGCTACCGCTTCGCACGGAGGGCCTCAGGCCCCAACCACTCCACCCCAGGATATTCAGCACCCCCGAGTGCCTGGCTCCAGGCGGGGGACAGCCCTTCGAACCTGACAGGAGAGGCCAGCTGCCAATCACACAGGCCCACCCCTCTCCATGGAGCCATATCAGAGGCCGGCAGGAAGAGGGACAGGAGGACTGCTTCCTCCCCAAAGGGCCCACCATGTCCATCAGGCCCGTTTTCCCACCACACGCATCTCTGTCCTCAGGTCTAGTAGTCAAGGAAGAAAGGACACCTTGGAAATGCTAGAGACTGAAGGGAGCCTGTCACCGGATGTCATCCTGCGTGGAGCTCAAATCACCTAGGTGTTCACAGGAAACCCTGGAGTCAGCAGGCTGCCACCCCCCCACACACACACCTGACGTCCGATGTCACCTGCTAACTTTAGGTTTATAGATGCGACATACCTTCCACCCCCCTTGTTAAGAAGTGCCTGTGAAGGTTTTGGTTCCCTTTTTGACAGGACACAAAAAGAGCATATATGGAGTCACAACTGCCACACAAACTGAGAACGTGTGACAGCTCCAGGCACACCTGGCGGGCTTCTATCCCCTGTGCTGTTCACTCAAAGCCAGCTCTCTGCAGAGACCCGTGTCAACCACCCTCCTTTCTAAGGCCAAACACCAGGCCTGGGCAGCCTAACTGAACAGGCACTTTGACCACAAACCCAGAGCTTTTCCAGGACATCCTGGAAAGAAACTCCTGGAAGCAGCTGTACTCCCGGACCTCTGACTACCTTGGCTCCTGCTCTAAGGGCAGGGCGTCT